GAAACACTTCTGCTCACAACAGGCTGTGGAAATTGATCTGGCTGGACCCAGATGAGTGTCTGCTAAAAAGGGTTGCAGATGGAGAGGATGGCTTCTTTCCTCTCCTTGCCACCCAATTTCCACACTTGCCTTGTCCAAAGATGAAACAGATTGTCCTTGGGTGTTGCGTGTGAAGAGGGGAGGCAGAAGGTTGCTGCTTGTTGATATTGATGGGCTGCTGCTGCTGTCCACCTGGGTCCTCGAGGTGCTGGCTTGGAGAGGTGGCACAGCTCATCCAATTGGGGAATAGCTTTCCCTTTGTTTTGGCTCAGTAAAAGATGATGTGCTTTCTCAAGCAGTGCATGTGTGTGTATATAGAGGAAAAGGAGGAACCTGTCAGTGGTGGGAAACCTGGTGTGCGCCAGATGTTGTTGGACCACAACTGCCACCATCCCTGACTATTGGCCAGGCTGGCTGATGGGTAATGGAGTACAAAACGAACTGGGCCACCAATTCCTCATCCCTACCTCATGTCCAAAGGAGGAGTTTTACAGACTGATGTGGAAATAGAATGGAATTCTGGATAAAAACATGCAAGCGTAAACTGAACTGGAAATAGAGGGAATTGCCCACCCCTCACTGCTCATTTTGCTATAATTAGCCATGATGTGCTTACCAGATTCTTCAAAATAATAATAATAATAATAATAATAATAATAATAATAATGATGATGATGATGTATCTGAAGACGTGTACATGCACACGAAAGCTTATACCAGGCTTCCTCAACCTCGGCCCTCCAGATGTTTTTGGCCTACAACTCCCATGATCCCTAGCTAGCAGGACCAGTGGTCAGGGATGATGGGAACTGTAGTCTCAAAACAGCTGGAGGGCAAGGTTGAGGAAGCCTGGTTTATATCAAGAACAAACTTAGTTGGTCTCTAAGGTGCTACTGGTCCCTCCTTGAGGTTGTTTATCTCCCTCCAGGTAACAAAAAATGGAAGTGTCTGGGCAGAGGTGGGAAATGAAGGGCAAGAGTTCATTTGTGCCCTTGTCCGTCGCTTCTTAGCTTGTGAAACAGTGCTTGTGCCATCTGCTCGAAACCCACAGAGAGAGAGTGTGACTTAGCTGTTGGGGGTTGCTAGATCCTCCTCCTGTTGCTATCCCACACCATCCCAACCTGCGAAAAGCTTTAGCCTCACTGCAGCATGAGGTTGGGGGCTCTTGGAGCTACAAAGTTGTCATGCCAGAAATGATGCTGATGGTGGTGGCAGCTGAATTTATTAATTTGTATAGAGTTGGAATGGACTCCCTTGGAAGGTGGTGGGCTCTCCTTCATTGGAGGCATTAAGCAGAGGTTGGATGGCCATCTGTCATGGATGCTATGGCTACTGTGAGAACAGGATGCTGGCCTAGATGGCCCCTAGACAGTCTGTTCCAGCAGGCTCTTCTTAAATTCTTATGATAGCTGGATTGCAATAGTAAGCCTGTGTTGTGTGCCTGCCTGCTAGCAGATGTAGCAACTGGGCAGCCCTTGAAATGCTGTTTGTACAGATTTTCAGAAACCACAAAGCAAAGTACATAGAAGGCTTGTGAGTTGCTCATTTCTTGACAGGTGCTCAATGATATTTTCTCTTTAAAAACTGAGCTCGTTGTCTGAAGCAGTCTAACACAGCTGTAATCCCCTCTTTCCACGATGGAGAACTTTGACACTTAGAGGCACACATGGTTGAACTTTGATCTTTGCTTTGGGTGGATTATAAAAACCCGATTACATATAAAATTGGGAACTTAAAGCAGGCTAGTGATTTTTCAATATTGAGCTGGGTTATCTGAAATAAAATGAGAGTTTAAAAGGACTTCTTCACCTGGGCTGATCTTACAGGTGCTTTACTCAAAATCTGAGGTCCATTGAGTCGATCCCAGAGCAAGTTTGGGTGAAAGTGGAAACAAGCAGAAAAGGACTTTCCACAGAGAAGTATGTTATATTGAGAGAAATGTCAGTACAGCAGCATCTCCAGGAGGGATCTGAGAAGGTAAATTACAATGCCAGTGGATGTGACTCCCTACTGGTTGAGTAAAATGTATGCAGACAGTGAACATGTGCTGGAGGTGAGGTCTTGAGGCAGCCATCTTTAAGGCTATTTGGTAGCCATGTCCAATAACATGACTGTTCCAGAGGAAGATAATTTATGACATCCACAATGATTCATTAGGCCATAACTCTCGAGCATCCTTCTCCAGCTAGAGGTGCCTTCCAGAGGGTTTGGACTACAACTCCCATCATGTAAGACCAAAGGTCATGCTGACCAAAGCTGATGCAAACTGCATTCTGAAATGCCCAGAGCATACCAGGCAAGGAAAGGCTGCTTTTGCCAATATTACTTGGGATATTCGGCTGCAATGGCAACATGAGTAAACAATTTCAGAAGAGGGGGAACAGAAGGGACAAGGTATATTTCTAAATGGGTGATGTGTCCCACATGTTAAGATCTCTGAAAGGAATAGTATATATTCATAACAGGAGTCCAACAATGGGGGTAGGGGCAAGCTCCTGGTTTGCTTACATGGGGAAATGGCAATCTGGTACCTCTGGATATGAACTTAATTCATTCTGGAGGTCTGTTCTTATCCTGAAACTGTTTTTAACATGAGGTGCCATTAGCAAAAGTGAGTCTCCCACTGCAATTTTGGCTCACATCCCAAGGCAAAGTTCACAACCGGGAGCAACTACTTCCGGGTTAGTGCAGCTCATAACCCAACGCGTGCACAACCAGAAGCGTTCGTATTCAGAGATATCACTGTACTGAGTCAGACCACTGGCCCATTTATCTCAGTATTGTCTACACTGACTGGCAGCAGCTCTCCAGTGGTTTCAGATGGAGGCTCTCCCAGCTCTACCTGGAGATGCTGGGAATTGAATCTGAGATCTTCAGCATGCAAAGCAGATGCTCTACCACAGAGCTATGTTAAAGGCTTGACTTTTAGCAACTTTTGCACATGGTCAAGGTCAATGGTGGCATCAGTAATGGGTGTGCATACATGTGGTCTGTGGTGTGTCCTTTATTTGCAAGATACAAATAGTAGATTGCATAAGAAACAGCTGAAGCTTAGCTGTGGTGGGCTCAGGAGGCCTCTCCGCCCTCAAGAACTGCCAGAGCATGGACGCCTGCACGATCCGGGTTTTATGCTGTTGAAATAAGGAAGTGTATACATGGGCTGAGAGAAACAGATGTTCTCCCTCAAGGGCAGTAAGCGAGCAGTCATCACAAGTACCGGGACTCTCATCAGGAGCAGATGGGCTTTGTCACCCTTTCTCATGCAGGCATCCAAGAGAGACTGATGAGCGATCGTGACCTTCAGGCTCTCTCCATGCGCTCTGGTGAATGGGTTTGCATGGGACAATGCATGGCAGCTCAGAGAGGCGCACTGGAACGAGCACTTAAAATGCAGTGGTGGAGATGGGCCTGGGAGGTGCGTATGAGAAGCAATGAGGAGCTGCATTAATCAGTTCTGCTTAATGAAGTAAGTAAACGAGGCATCAAAGTCAAAAGCCAGCCTCTGTTGCGGGACCCCTGCTCATTCATGCTGAGTACACTTCCCTTGACCATTCCACACAGTGAGTTCAATGAAGTCCATTTTTATCTCTCATTTTTTCTAGGTATATATTCAGTTCTCTACATTTTCCATGGCAATTTGCAGTTTTAGTGTGAATTTCTCCTGGTGATGTCAGGGCTTGTCTCGTGCAGCACATGTGATTTTCCAAAAAGAGGCTGGTCCATTCAGTCAAATGGCGCACTGCCACACGAAGCTCAGTCTACCTTCAGCCCATCCACACCTCCCTGACTTCTTAGTTAAAACCAATCTGCCAAAGAGCAATGGTCTTTCCCAATTTAAAGGACACAGAGTGTTCTGTGAATCTGAGGGAACAATTCACATGAATCTCAAAAAGGATAATAATGGCACATGGTGGAGGGGGCATCTTGCCTCAAGCACTGTTAGACAGATACTTATCTGAATTGGCTCATCCATCTGGGCTTCACCCAATTTATTTTGTTGCTCCTTTTTAGTAGCAATGAAGCCAGAGAGGTAGGGCAATGATAAAGCATTTGCCCTGCATGCAGAAGGTCTCAGGTAGGTCCTCCACATCTCCAGGCTGGACTTAGAAAGACCCCTGTTTGAAATCCTGAGGACCATAGCCAATCAGTGTGGACCATGGAGGAAGGAATAGCAAGCAGGGAGTAGGATGGAATGAGACAGGTTTTTAGGTTATGTTATGCTTTTAATAGGTTATGTTATATTCTGGAGTATGATATGTTTTTATAGATTATGTCTGAATAGGATGAGAGTGTTGGAGATACGTGCAAATGTGTATGTGAACCCGGTCTTCGAGTGGGTGTTTGATTTTCGTTGTTGTGTATACTGTGTATATACGGACAATGACAATAAATTTATCTATCTATCTATCTATCTACCATACTTCCTCCACTCCCAGATATCATTGAAGTAAATCAAACAAATGGATACAATAAAAATAATAGAAGAAACAGTATTAGGTTGGTAGAGTACCGCACATTGTACTACTGTGGAGAGTGAATCTTAAAGAATCACAGAGTTGTAGAGTTAGAAGGGACCATGAGGGTCATCTAGTTCAATTCCCTGCAACTGAGGAATAAGGTAAAGGGACCCCTGACCATTAGGTCCAGTTGTGACCGACTCTGGGGTTGCGGTGCTCAGATTGCTTTATTGGCCGAGGGAGCCAGCGTACAGCTTCTGGGTCATGTGGCCAGCATGACTAAGCCGCTTCTGGAGAACCAGAGCAGCACACGGAAACACGGTTTACCTTCCCGCCAGAGCGGTACCTATTTATCTACTTGCACTTTGATGTGCTTTCGAACTGCTAGGTTGGTAGGAGCGGGCACCGAGCAACGGGAGCTCACCCCATCGCGGGGATTCAAACCACTGACCTTCTTATTGGCAAGTCCTAGGCTCTGTGGTTTAACCCACAGCTTCAATTCCCTGCAACTGAGGAGTATTTTGCTCAAATTCCATAACCCTGAGATTAAGAGTCTCATGCTCTGCCAACTGAGCTACTCCCACTCCTGTCTTGTGTGTCTGTATCTGTTGTATATAAGATAAAATCCAACCAAACAACATTTAATCTTTCAGGGTCCTCCAAACCTTTGGCAGCACATTTATGAGTGTGTTGTTTTTCCAGCTAATGCTAAATGCCACCTATCTTTATACCAAAGTGAAAGTCGCAAGTCCTTTAAGTTTTTCCATTTTGGGGCAACTGAGGTTCTGGCTGCCGCCATGCAGTGCAGACAGACAGTGCTGAGCTAAATGGACCAGTGGTCTAGCTCAGTATAACGCAGCTTCCTACGTTTGTAGTAGTTGTTTGTGCAAGATGACGGCGAATTGTACTGGTTGAATGGGAGGAAGAGGAATCAGCTGCATCTACTGAGTAGGCGAAGCAGAACATGAGGAGAACACTTGTCAAATATTGCTGCCCATTTGGGTTTTGCCTTCTGTGGCGCAGACGCCTTTGATAATGCTTCTGCCTGCATTCTCACTTTCTCTGCCCAGAAGCCCCTGGCTAAGATAGGTGGAGGTTCCTCATCTCGTTCACACCAGACACCATGCAGGGAGAGAGAGCAACACAGGACTCATTTTCCCTTCTTAAAATAAACACACTTTGCCCTTTCTTGCAACACATGCAAAAAGAAGCTTTTTCAATCCCATAGGGTCCCCTCTTACCGCAACCCTCCCGTCTCAGTTTTATAACTGGAAATGTTTGGGAAGGATGATCTAAAATAAAAAATAAGAAAAGTGCGCGCCCAAGTTAGCTCATGAAAGCATTGCATGGAATGAAACAAATTAAATAGTCACCCATGGAGAAGAAGGGTATTGGAAAAGAAAGGACAGCAAAAAGATGACTCCAGATCAAATAGGCAGGATGGAGACGAAACTCGCCAGCCAGCTCAGGGAATAGAGGCCTAGCATGGCAGTGAAATAATTGTGCCCCTCCAGATGAAGACCTCTGATTTCTTACATGCGTCATCTTCCCTCTGTCTCTCTTTGTGGCAATATTTTATCTGGGAAACTCTGGGCCTCTTTCACTGGAGCTTGGAGAAGAGTTGATTAATTAAGGGTGAGATGCCTTGCACACAGATGGTCCCACTCTGTGGGAGATGGCTGCAGAACTGCATAAAAGAATGAAAACTGAAGGCTGTAGCTTCTGTCTCTTCCCTCCCCAGGTTCTGACTTAGAAATAGACACACCCACTGGAAGTAACTTGCAGGCACACTCACACCCAGCACAAAACAAAGAACCAGCTCAAGGATGGGAATTAGATCCAGCCATTTCCCACTCTATGTGACTAGAGGAAAGGGTCTTATTATTTTCTAAGACCTTTTCCTCTAGTCACACTCACTGCTTAAAATTAAGATAGTAAATTTTAGGTAATAAAATAGATAGTTTAGATAGCTATCCAATATTTTAGACAGCAAAATGTGTGTGTGCTTATGCTGCTTTTCAGAGTATCATGTCCAACAGTGACACTACAGAAAAAACCTCTATAATTTGTGGGGGAAGTCAGCTCACCTGTTGCTTATGTCCTCTCATACCACTTCACCAGCATGGGCAGGTAAGGAAGGGAGTATTATTATTATTATTATTATTATTATTATTTTACTTAACTTACCAGGTTTTATTATTATAAAGGTTTTATTGAGAAAAGTAACTCAAAGCAACTTAACGACAAGAAATAAATAACACATACATTGAAACCAATGTAAAACAAAACAGAGAGATCTAAAACTCATTCAACTGAATGGACCTAAATCAGCTGCCTTCATTAATTTCAGCAGTTGTCCTCTGAGTATGACTTACTTTGTATGTAACCCAAAGCTCATAAAGAGCCGAGCCTTGTCTTGGAGAGGGGAAGAACCGGCGGAACACCCACCGAGTTTCTGTTGTTTTTAATAAGCCAAAACAAAGTAACAGAGAGACTGAACCTGGCAGGAGAAACATCTGCTCTTGAGCAAGGTTCTGAAAGCCTTCCATCTCAACCTGTGCCAAGAATCTTATTAATGGCCTCTCAGGTCCAAAGGCCTTGCAGATGGTTGAGTGGCTCTGGATGCGATAAAGAGAGTAGATAAGGAGGCTATAGATTTGGTGTTGCCAGGTTGATCCTAGCCAATATTTAAGGCAAAGCAACCATGATGTCTACTCATGATGCTTGTGAGGTAGTTTTAAAGATGTTGGCAAACTCAACTAAAGTCAGACTTTCTCACTCTTCTTGCAGTGTTTTCCACTGCATCCATTAAAACTTTATTTTGGGTCAAAGTCAAGAGCATCAGAAGGCTGGTGTCAGTTTGAAATGAATCTGGATTTGGGATCTTGGCGACCTCCTTGGCTAGTGGTTAGGAACTTCAAGCCTGAGGACCAAATGTAATTCTCCAGTCTTCTCTGTCTCATCCTTGGGACTCTCCCCAGGCCATGCCTCATCACTGGCCATGGTGTATGCACTTCTTGACTCCTTTTGTCTGACTAAAGTGCTTCCTGGACTTGTGATAATGCCTGGATGGAGAATGGAGTGTTGTGCATGTAGACTTTTCTGTAACTTGGATGGAGGAGGGCTGAAAAAGATGCCCCACCCTTGTCTTGGACCACTATGCAGTGTGATGCAGGGCACTATTCAGAAGACACTTTTGTGGTCTTCATCACCATGAAGGGAACCTCCTCCCCTCCCACACACACCTGCAAACAATTTTGATAAGGCTCACAGTATTTCTCATGGAGGCTCTGCATACCTATGCTATGAGATCTACACATGGAAGTGGTTCAGGTGTACATTGGATTTGCATGGAAGAAACCTGGCCAGGGACTTGTGGTTAGTGGTTAGAGCATCTGCAAAAGGACCTTGGTTCAACTCCCAGCATCTCCAGGCAAAGCTAGTAAAGGCCCCTGCCTGAAACCCAATACATTTTGTTCCAATAGATTTCAGCTTGAAAAGCAAACTTCTTATCTTTTAAGCTATAACATTTAATGGAGAATCACAAGTGTAGATAAGCTAAAACACCCACACCCATGAAACCCAGCAAAATAAGCCTCTTTTATGGATACAATAATAATACTTAACATTTATAGTATGAATTTCATGTGCCAAATACATTATCTCCGTTATCTTTAAACGAGTCCTGTAATGTAATTCAGTATTATCAACCCCATATTACTAATCAGAGGCTGAGGCTTGCCTGAGGCTACCTTACGAATTTGTGGATGAGATGAGATCTGAACCAAAGCATCCCAGTTCACTGCTCATTCATTTAACCACTACACTGTGCCATTTCCTCCCACTGCATTTCTCTGAGACTGTAAGAGGGAGGGCTGTAGCTCAATGGTAGAGCATTTGCTTTGCATTCAGAAGGTCCCAGGTTCAGTTCTTAGCATCTCCAGGGAGGGCTAGGCTAGGAGATACCCTGTCTGAAACTCTCGAGAGCCACTGCCAGTGAATGTAGACAATACTGAGCAATATGGACTGATGGTCTAACTCAGCTTCCTATCCTCCTATAGTTTTGCAGGAATAGCTCCTGCAGGAGTTCCATCTTCAAGGCACCAGCATTTTACTTCATTATATTCTCATTCTGAGGCACACTGTGTATCAGATGAATCTGCCTTATGCTGAGTCAGACTACTGGTCCAGAGCTGTCAACCCTGACTGGCAGTAGCTTTTTCGAGTCTCAGGAAGGTGTGTTTCCCATCACCTCCCACCTGATCAGCTTACCTGGAGATGCTGGAGATTGAACCTGAGACCTGCTCCTTCCTCAATGGCTGCTGTGCTATAGCTGTGACTCATTCAGGAGAAAGCGTGGGCAGCTGAAAAAGCTCTCCACCAGTCTTATATTGGGTCTGGCTTGTGATTGATAACCTTCTTTGTTTGTCTTCCCAGGCAAGTTGTAAAAGCTGAAGATTTATCACATTATCTGGCGGATGACCACTGCTGGTTTAATGATACCCCAAGGCATTTTGCTGCTTGAGACATAGATGGTGTCCCTTCCGCTTTCCATATAGAAAGGCTGACTAGGCTGCCAGTTAAGTCAGACTTCAATCCTGATGATGGGATAGTGTCTTCCACCATGCCTGAGGCAGCAGGCCAAATCAGCGGGCCCTGGACAAAGGGGAATGACTTAGGGGCTCAAGAGGAGAAGCAAGGAGCTGGTGTTGCTGCCTGATGGGCGGGCCAGCCCTGATGATAGCAAATGAAAACAGGAGCTGAAGCATTTTGGAAGTTGTTCAGGGGAATTCTGTGCAAGATGTAGCAGCCTCTGTTGATATAACTAAGAGCTGTGCAATATTAAGTAGAGTTGCTTCACCGCACATTATACTCTCCTGCTGGCATCAGCTCTGAAGTTAGCAGAAGCAAATGTTGCAGCTGCACCAGGCTGGTGGGTTAGAGAAATTATGGTGGCCTGATTCCAGGTGTTAGGGCTAGGCAAAGACGTGTTGTAGGTGTGGTTTGTGATGCACCAGAACATGCCCTTCTACATTCCTCAGTTGAAAATAGGGACACCTTCGGCACCTGTGTTTCTGCTGCCAGGAATTATAACTCCCCTACAACTGACCCTAATGGACCTCCCACTTTTCCTGTCCCTTCCAAGCCCCTACACAGAGCATTTCCTATCAGAAGAAGGGTGAGTGCCACCACCACTCCATAAATGGGACACAACACACATGTCCTCCACCATCCTGAGAAAACCCCTTAATCCAGATTTGATTTTATTCTTTGGTAGATGTACAAACTACACACCACACACACACACTAATAAATAAATTTTAGAAAGGGGCAAGATTAGACACAGATGCACAAAGTATTAATACTATTTTAAATCAGGACTCCTTGCACTCCATTCTGTTCCACTCCCCCTTTCTTTCTGCCTGAGGCAGCCCTGCCCCTCAGAGCCAGTGCATCATGCAGGGCTGGGCCACGGTGTTAGCAGCCTCTCCTCATCCTCGTCTTCTCTCCAGCAGCCACTATAAGCTGTCCAAGGGAGGAAACCAGCAGCAGTGGCCATGGAGAGGCAACAGGATGCTCCCTCGCAACCGCAGCTGCAGCCACCACATGGGACAAGCACCAGTTTCTCCTCCTCCTCCCCAAGCTTGGCAGTGCTGGCACTAGTGGGGGAAATAGGGACATTCCGGGATCAAATCAGAAGCTGGGGTGGCTGTTGTAATTCTGGGACTGTCCCTAGAAAACTGGGATGCTTGGAAGGTATGCCAGAGTGCACAAGAACATAAGATGAGCACTGATGGATCAGGCCAAAAGTCTGTGTAAACTAGCATCCTGTTTTCACAGGATGAGAGAAAGTCACAAGCAGGACCTGAGCACAAGAATGCACTCTCCTTCTGTGGCTTCAAGCAACTGGTGTTCAGAGGCATACTGCCTTCGACTGCGGATGTAGTACATAGCCTTAAATGCCAATAAATTGTCTAATCTTCTTTTAAAGTCATCCTAGTTGATGGCCATTACTACATCAAGAGGGGGCAGGAAACAAATGCCATTGTTTTGCTATGCACTGTGTGAATATGTACTTCCTTTTGTCCAGTACAGCTCCTCCGCTGCCTTTTTCTGAGACCAAATCCCATCAAGCTCTTCCATTGTGGGGAGTTAGAGATAATTCAATCTTGCATACTAATGTAATCTTCTCATTCCAAAGAAGCTCGTCTGACAGATACTTTTAAGAAGAGATGTGGGCTTTGAAAAGCGCTTGATGGCACTGCCTGTAATTAGAATGTAATTGGCGTAATTGAGAGCCCAAGGCCCTTTTGTTAGGGCTCATCTGCATATTTTTAACATTTTGTCGAATCTTTGTTTGTTATGGGTCTCTCTCTTTCTCTCTCACCACCCTTCCCATGTCCCTATTTGTGTATCTTCTAGCAACTGTTGCTGCTGGCTGGAGATAAATTCAATTTAATCACTGCTCTCTTTGTGGGTTTGCTCTGTACCTTGTAGCAGAGGGCAGGGGGTGCCAGAGGTTTGCTGGAGTGGGAGGAACAGATATCGGAAATAACAGTGTGAACAAATTTATATCAAAATGGAGTTTACTGTGCAACTAACCTTTATAATCACAGCTGGAACATTAACCCTTTGTTCTCTAGAGTAGCAAACGACTTCCAAAACTTGATGCATATAATTTTAGAGGGGTAGCAGGTGTTTACCTCTTGCAGCAAAAACAGCAAATACACTGGTGGCACTTTAAATTCTGCTGGTTTGTTGTGGCATTACCTTTTTGTGGAGACAAGGTCACTTCATCAGGTGGCTTTTAGAATGTCTTACCCCTCCTCCCTAATTCCTTTCAGGCACTGGTTTTCTTTCTTTCTTTCTTTCTTTCTTTCTTTCTTTCTTTCTTTCTTTCTTTCTTAATCCTGTTTTCCTTTCCTATTGGTCATTTTAATATTGGTCCTGTGTTGCTATTGGTCACTCCCCTTGCCCTTGGCTGATTGGCCATTATCCTCTAGGGCCACCATAGAACCTTCAAAGGACAGTAGAACAGCCACACTAGATCAGGGACAAAGATAGCTTGGGTCTTAGCCCTGGAGAAATATCTTTGTGTGGTCCTATCCATACCATATATTTAAAACACATTTCCCTTTAACCACCATGGCTTCCCCCAAAGAACCATGGGAACTATAGTTTACCCCTCATGAAGCTATAATTCCCAGCAACCTTAACAAACCACACTTTCCATTATATGGGTAGGTGACAGAATTTGCTTTTTTTCAGGGAAGGGGTGCACCAAACATAGGGGTTCTACCTTAAGTAATTGTGGCAGAGGTAGTGTCTATTATTTCTTCACTTTACTGTGATGGCAGCAAGGACAGGACAATTCTGATTCTGACAGCTCAGTCACTGTTCTCGTAACCCAAAAATGACATGAGAAGAGCCTTGCTGGATCAGGCCAGATGCCTATAGGAAACCCAGAAGCAGGAGCACGCCAGCACTTCCTCACTTCTGCTCCAAAACAACTGGTTTTTTTAGAGGCATATTGCCTCCAACACTGGAGGTAGAGCACTGTCCAGGATGCATTTTCATTCCGGATGCATTTTCATGATGGCCCCCAGTAGCAATAAGCAAATATGAAGATAATATAAAAATAAAAATAAAACAGAAGAGCAGCAAGAAGAAGAAAGAAACCCCTCCAGCAGCATTAAGCCAAGTCTCAATGCAAGGCTATCCCTACCATTTGGCAAAGTGTGTTGACTGCCTCATTCAGCAGATACTAGGAGGTCTCAGCCTCCCTCACCAGATTACCATTCCCAAGGTGCACTGAGGAAACTACGAAAATTCAATTGTATAAAGCCAATACAAGTTTGAAACATAGACGTACACTTTGTCTTTGTTCAGACCATATGTTGTAAAGTTTGTTCCTCTCTAATAAGGGGCAGAACAGATGAGACGTCCAATAGGAGAATTGATGGATGCTAAGCTGTGATACGGTAGGACGCAGGTGGCGCTGTGAGTTAAACCACAGAGCCCAGGACTTGCCGATCAGAAGGTCGGCGATTCGAATCCCCACGACGGGGTGAGCTCCCGTTGCTCGGTCCCTGCTCCTGCCAACCTAGCAGTTTGAAAGCACATCAAGTGCAAGTAGATAAATAGGTACCACTCCAGCGGGAAGGTAAACGGTGTTTCCGTGTGCTGCTCTGGTTCGCCAGAAGCGGCTTAGTCATGCTGGCCACATGACCCGGAAGCTGTACGCCGGCTCCCTCGGCCAATAAAGCGAGATAAGCGCCGCAACCCCAGAGTCGGTCACAACTGGACCTAATGGTCAGGGGTCCCTTTCCCTTTCCCTTTAAGCTGTGATACAGAACAGCTTTTGTTAACTTGGGGCCCCCCTGCTGCTTTGGACTACAACTCCCACCAGCCCCAGCCAGAACAATCCTGCTGGATGGGGCTGATGGGAGTTGTAGTCCAAAACACCTGGAGGGTGCCATGTTGGCCAAGGCTTTTCTAAGTGTTGTGGGGATAAGTGACACACCATCTGGTTGGGGTTTGGTCTCTGTGTTTTCAGATACTGTTTTCCCTCTGATTCAATGAGCCTCTTGATCAGTCGTATGAAATTATCCAGGTGCTGGTGGCAGGGGGAGTGAAGACCAATCATTTCTTTATTTTTAAATCTGTCAGGGATTTGAGGAAAACACTATTTGTGCTCTCTTTTCAAATAATAGTTTTTGATGCAAAATAACATATTATGAAGAATTTTGATGACCAATACTACATTTATCACAATGATATAATCAGTCTTCAACCTCACGGCTGATTTAGTCAATTAAGTTTTTAACCTTCCCTTTCTTCAGTGGGTATTTTAAATGCGGCGATTTTAATGAAATCTCATCTACCCATTCATTTATACACACATTTTGTCCTGCTTAGTTCCTTTTGTATGCATAAATATAG